CTTGTATGCTTGGCCTTGTGAATTTTTACTGTTTAGCACCTAACTATTATCGATAAGAGTTTAAAATGAATTTATATAAATTGTGTCTTAATTTTATTATATAGATCGTTGCTATTTTAAAGCATTCTTGAGCTTCGTTTTTTCCCCGAGTTGATCTTTGAGCTATTTTGTTTTCTTTTATTTCTCTTTACTTAGCGGTTTCTCAACATTGTCATTGACTTTGGTTTTTTGCTTGTTTTAGTTAGTGCAGAGGACGCAGGGCATCTTGATCATTAGTAAGTCCAAGCCTTTTTCTTGTAGAGAATTCTCTTTAAAAAAAAAAAAAATCCTATCAAATTGTTATTGTGGAAAAAAAATTTTAATTACTCATTGGATAGCAATTCTTTTTAAGCAAGGATTAAGTATTTCTTGTTTAGAAGTTTCCATTTTACTATGCGTTTGTGGTGTCATGAGTTTTAATTTATTTAATGATCCTTTGTTTCATCTTATCTGATTAATGATTTCTCTTCTTTATAATCCTATCTAATGAGTTTTTTTTCTCTTCTATAACGGTTCATTATTTTGTGGTGTTGTGAGCTTCATTTCACTATGTTATTGTCTTTTCTAGTTGTTCTTTCATTACATTGGTTGTTCTTATCTATTTCAATTAGGTGACTAGTTGGGTGGTTAAATACAAAGATAATCTGGTAAGCGTTGGTGTTGATGAGTCCTTAGCTCAAGTTTGTTCTAAGAGTGGTGCAATAGATCCCATTATGAATGCATATGTTGAAAGAATGCAAGCTACAACAAGGGTAATCATAATTTTTCTGATGGCTTTATTGGTTTGTTACTTGGTTTATAACATTGCTCAGATCACATGTCTTTCCTTTGCCATTTGCTGTCATTTTTTTCTAGAAATGGTACTTGAACATCCTTGAGGCTGATAAGGTACAACCAGCAAAGAAAACAGAAGATGAGAAGCTATATACACTTGCTGCTGTTGATTTGTTTAGGATCCTTGGCGAGCAAGTGCAAATTGCTCGTGAAAATAGCATCGATGTCATGCTGTACAAAATTGCTTTGTCCATTATTTAGGTAAGTTCAGCTTTACAAGTTTTACTTCAATTATATACCTTATTCAGTTCTTGACATTCTTTTTCTTTTTCTTTGGTACAGATGGATGAACTCGTGCACGAGGCTAAATTGTACATGACTAATTGGCGCTATAAGCATTTTTGGAAGTATTATATATTTTTGGATAGATGTGTATTTTTGGATAGACTAGTAGTTATATTTTTTGATGGGTGTATATGGAAAATATTTGGGTAGACTAGTTATATTTTTTGATGGATGCGCATGTATAAAAATTTAAATTGGAGGAATATGTACTTTGGAATTACTTGTGAATGGAAACTTATAATAGTTGCTGACTTTTATTAAACAGGTTCATGATTGGATGGTTTATGTATTTCGTTGAATGTTCATGATTCAGATACTTTGTTGATATGAATAATTCTTTTTAATTATAGATTATATTGAATGGATTTGATGTAATATTTGTCTTCAATTACAGGTTTATTTTGTTGGATGTTGGCGACCAAATTGTGGTTTTGCTGAGCAAAATGTTGGTAGGCAAAATGGTATATTTGGCGACTAAATAATTAGTCGGTAAACTTTTGACAACCAAAGAGTTTGGTCGCAAATAGGTCTATTGTCGACTAAACTTTTAGTCGCGCAAACATTACTTTTGGCGACTAACATGTTTGGTCGTGGAATGTGACTTTTGGCGACTAATCTATATCTATTGGTCGTGGATTGTGACTTTTGGCAACTACCATGTTTGGTTGTGGAATGTGACAATTGGCGACTAACATGTTTGGTCGTGCAATGTGACAATTGACGACTAACATGTTTGGTCAGGAACATGCCACTTTTCGCGACTAAAATGTTTTAGCGACTAAATGGATTAGTCGCAGTAATAATATATTTAGTGATAAAAAATTTAGTCAGTAAATTTAATTTTTTCCCGACTAACAAAAGTTTTGATTATTAATTATTTTTACTGACCCTCAATTGACGACCAATGTGGCGACCAAAAAATTTGGTTACAGATAACTTTTACCGACTAAAAATAGACTTTTGCTGACCAAATTTTTAGTAAGTAAAATTGCGATTTCCTATAGTGATACCACAAAATCTTGTAACCAAAATTAAGTTCATTTATAACCAAAAACACCATAATTTTTTATAATCAAGCTTTGTTTAGTGAAGGCAAAATAAGTCAAAAAGCTAATGCACATTTTTAAAAGCAATGATACTAGATGGCCCGAAATTTCTTGGTTCGAATGATTCGAATGTCTCAAAACGATATTATTTTGACATATTTGAGTCATTCGGGCCACACAAATTCGACTTACTAAATATTTTTCTTTTAAAAGGTAAGTACCATAATTAGTAAAAACATATATGAATTAGAAAAAATATAAAAATTATTTATGTGCAAGTGAAAATACTACTCTAATCTTTGATGGGATACTGGCAACGCTCAATTCCCGGTCAATTTTTTTTTTTTTTTTGAGTACAAGAACTTTCCTTTCTTTTTCAAGGACACTAGTGTAAACCCGTACTATGTACGGGACGTGAAAAAATGTTTATATGAAATATTATAAATAGTTAGTGTTTTTTTATTTAAATTATAAAAATAAAAACATTGAAATTTATAATTTAAAATTTACAATTTTATTATAATTTCTGTATCAATTTTTAATTTGTCACAATTTCAATAATGTAACTTTCAACTCCCTTGTTAAAGTTGTAAATTTGGACGAGTTAAATCCAAACAACTTGAGTCAAACCTATAAATTTTTAAAAATTGTGCAACATCATTTTTAATTTGGTGAGAAACTATGTAAAATTCAAAGATTTAAATAAATTTAAATGGACTTCGACAAAGACACCAAATAACTTGGGTAATTGAAACAAAATTATATGTATAAATATATAAAATTATTTGCTAATTAATTTTTTTAATAATAAATAAGATTAACTAAAAATTTAATATTAATGAACAAAAGCAAATACACTTTTTAGAAAGGAACATCCAATAAGTTGATATTTAAAAAATTATATTTTATAATGGCATAAATTAATTTATTTATGATTGTTCAAAAATTATTTTTAATTTAAAAATTACAATAAAATATTTAAATATAATAAAATTAAATTTCTACAAAATAAAAGCATCTGTATAAAACAAATGTAAAAAGAAAATTTAGAATGATATTCTCATTTGATTTGAAAATAATTATAGATAACTAATAAATTATCACCTATAGCCCCTCATTTATTTTAAATAAAAAAGATATTTCACAAACCATAAGGCACCGTTTGGGAAGGTGGGTTGGAGGCTTTTTTGGCTATTTTAGCCACAAAAAACAAAATAGGCTATTTTAGCCATAACAAACAAAACATCACATCCAACCCATAATCATTATATTCTTCTCTCACAAAAAAACTCAAAAAAGCCAAAAAGCCAAAAAGCCCTTCCCAAACCAAGCTTTTAAGCCCAGGCTAAAATAGCTAAAAAAGCTAAAAAGCCAAAAAGCCAACCCACTTCCCAAACGGAGGCTTATTAGAAAAATAACATTTATTCCTATTTGTTTCAGTAAAACTCACTTTTTAGTATTTGAGCCAAAGCATTTTCCTTTTTTTTTTTATATTTTAGTTTGTTTAATTGGCAATTAATATTAAAAAAATAAAAATAAATTAACAGAATCTACCATATTTCGCAAGTGTTAAAAAAGTCTAAATGATAGGCTATCCGTTCATCCGATGTCCCTAATACCATTAGGTATAACTAATCCATGTGATACAATAACCATTTGAACAAAATAGATTAATTTCAGTACTTTAACGTGTCAATTGTTAAAATTATAGTGCAAAGTAAGGTTACAAATGAACAGAGCCGTTCGTGAACAGGCTCGAGCTTGGCTCGGTAAGAGCTCGTTTGAATTCGATTCGTTAATTTTTTTTTGCGTTCGAGCTCGAGTTCGTTAAATTTTTAATAAACAAGTCTAAACATTCTAAAACTCGACTCGTAAGCTCGGCTCGTTAACTGACTTGTTTAATATTTATTATTTATATATTAAATAATATAAAAATATGTATAAATAATATAAAAATATGTATAAAAAATAAGAGAAATATGCTATTTATATATTTAAAAAATATAAATATAAATAATAGTTAACTATAGATAGTACATTTATATAATAGTGGTAGTAGATATTATTATTTTAGTAAAATATGGATTTTTTTTTTAAGTATGTTTATATATATTATATATATAATTGTATAATCAAAGTTTTAATTGCAACTTTAGTCTCACATACAAGTATGAATTTATAAATTTATGAATTTATAAATTTTTTGGCTCGTTAAGGCTCGTGAACAGGCTCGAGCTCGAGTTGAGCTTAGGCCAACTCGACTCGAGCTCAGTTCGTTAAATTTTTATTCAGCTCGAGCTCGAGTTCGTTGAAATTTTAATAAACAAACCCAAACATATTAAAATTTGGCTCAGCTCGTTTGCAATCCTAGTGCAAAGTAAAGTGAGTGATAGCTTGAGGAAACAAAATGAAAAATTTACCAAATCCAAATTTACCATAGTTTCAGAAAATTCTAGGTGAGGTCTAGTGTCTGGGCAAGGACGTTTGCATATTTTAATTTAAAAGTCAAAAAAATATTAAAAAAAATTAAAAAGCCTATAACCTATATAAAAAAATCAAAGATATCATTTTTTCTTTACTTTTTGTACATTTTTTAGTAAAAAATCAAAAAATCATTCCGAACGTAATAATTTTTTTTACCTCATATTTTAATAAAAAAATCAAAAAATTATTAAAACCGTCATCACGCTAACCTGATGGTAGGACTTGAGGCTCAACAAATTTTGTGTTCATGACAATGTCCACCAATGGGAAAAACCAAAAATCTCATCAGGCAAAACAAAATGCGAAATCTACTGGGTCAATCAATCAAGAAAATGAACTCTCCATTGCCTCAAAACTCGTTATCTAAACAAAAAATTCAAGTCTCCAACTAACTAAAATAATATCAAAAAACAAATTAAACTAAAAGCTAGCAAGTTGAAAAGGCCGGCTTCACAAAAGTGGTAACCATCATCCCTTAGTCAAAAAGACTGAGGCCCAAATCCTCCTGCAACAAGGATGACAGATATGTCAGGCAAAACATATAAATTCATAAGTTGACAATAGAAATTAAATCTGGATACTAATATTCACACAGTAATCGCATTAAAAAGCCTACATCATCAGTTCCGTCATTCTCTTCCACTTTCTCCTCTTTCTTTGCCTCTGCAGCAGGAGCTGGAGCAGCAGCACCTCCAGTGGCGGCAGCAGCAACTGCAACACCACCACCAGCCGGAACTGAAGCCAACTTCTCCCTTCCAGATGCAATTAGTTCAGTGATATCTTTTCCCTTAACTTGAGACAATAGCAACTGAATCCTATCTTCATCAGCGTCAGCTCCAACTGTAAATCACAAATAAATTTCATTTAATGAAAAGGGCTAGTCAATGAACATGTTGAAACAAATCACCATCATCATGGAAAGACTTCAGCTCTCTCTCTCTCGAGCCTTGACTTGTTACTTTCAAATCCACAGCTAATATGCTTCATACGACAAACCACAAATTCCCCCATATATTTAACCAAATATGGGCAGGCCCAACACATACAATGCTAGTCTCCAACATAAACAAAACATGAAAGTATAGCATGTCGATGGGTTCTCAAAAAAGGTTATCAAGTGAAATAATGACTCAGTAGCACAACATTGAAACACACAAGAAAACAATCCACACAAATAGCATCAAAATAAAATAACAACCTAATAACGTTCACGCAACATAAAAATACTTCAGATGCAGTAGAAAATAACAACATATAATTTGGTTTGTTAAATATAGATTTGGATTTGTGGTTTTCCAACAAACATGGGCATTACATTAGGTTCAATTAGTTGAGTTGTGTGTCAGTTTGTATTAAACAATAAATAAATCAATTAATTTAGTGAGATGGCTAGGCTAATCCTCATAATTACATAATTCATATTTAAGAATTCTATAAGCTTTATGAAATAACATTGTTCTAATAGACTGTTACTCTCCTTGTTTTGCTAACAAAGATCCAACATTCAAACTCATCCAACACTCGTTTTTTATCAAACTAATTCAAATAATCAAATCTCAATCAACTTAAATGAAGACCAACCATAAAAAACAATAAACGCATTTATACAGATCTATATGCCAATTAAGGACTCAAAACACACGATTATACTAATTTAAAATTCTATAATATTGTATCCCAATAAATATGAACCAAATTAAATTAAAAAAATATTAAAAATTACCAGAACCGAGAATGCGCTTCAAATCATCAGCGGAAGGGCTGGTGTTACCTCCCAACACAGCAAGCAAATACGCAGCGACAACCTTCATTCTGAAATCAACACCAAAACCAGAGACCACGATAAGAATACACAATCAAGTAGATATAGATTATATGATAATGTACCTATATATATACATATATATATATAGAGAGAGAGTACTTCTTGAGGGATTTGGATCCGGAGATTCAGGTATGGATAATGATTCGAGCGCAAAATCAGAGATTAGGAGAATGGTTCTAGGGTTTAGAGAAGAGAATAGAAGAGAAGAGAGGAGAGAGATACGTATATATAGAGACCTAGGGCTTTTGACAAGCAAGAAGCTTGAGAGGCGGTTAATTTTGATTAGATCCTGACCTTTCATTTTATTTTTCCAAGATTACCCTTATTTTTTTTGTTGTTGGTCACGTCACGTCAAGCGCGAATTAATTTGTGAAGGAAGGAACATGGTAGGCCTACTTGGGCTGGGTTAGGCCCAACTTTTTTAAGGCCAGGACCTATTAGAACCAAATGCATCTTTTCATTTCAAAATTTTTATTTTTTATTTTTCCTCAGAATCTGGCCTGTTTCATGAGCCCAGTTTTAATTTTAGAGGATTTACTCAAAATCCATTCATAATAAAATTTTTATGCAATAAGGATAAATATAAAATTTTTTCTTGAAAAGTCTAGCACACACTACTATTACCAAAATATCCTTAATGACTAATTTAATATTTTAAACTTTAAAATGATATAACTTTTAATTTAGATGTCGATTTTTAATAAAATTAGTATTTTTAAATCATCACATCAAGATCTATCAAATAATATTGTCGAAATTGAGAAGATATGAAGGAGCTGCCTCCAAGCAATCTATTGATGATTCCTCAGACTAGCCATGGAAGAAATATAAAGGAAGTCCCGGGGATGGAGGTACGTCTCCTTTCTGCATATCTATTTCCATTAGTTGAATTCCCACGGATATTTACTCGTAAGCAGTAACATGTTATTTTCATTTATAGTAACATGTTACTGTCAATACAGTACACCAGCAACCATAATAAGAAAGAGAAGATCAAACCGAAACTAGCGAACAAAAAAATAAGAATGATGACTCATCGTTGGCAGATCTTGATTATTTTCATAACAGATTACATATAAATGACAAAGCATATAATAAAACACTAATATATATGTCTTAAAACATTTGCGGACTCTATGATTTTGTTAGGCTATGACAAAGAGTGTGTGGAGATTTACAAAATTATTCAAAAATCGATTGTCGACGAGAGTTTGTACTAACTCAAAGTTAAGAAGCTGAATCCATCACAGTTTTAAAAAATGGATTGGGAGGTGATCGAGGTCAACATCAAGAGTTGGCTCCATGAGATAAAGATTGTCGTGAAGATGCTCTTTTTACAGGGAGTGAATCCTCTGTGATCACGTTTACTTTGCATCCTTTAGAACTTCGAAATCGTGTTTCGCTAAAGAAGGTGCCAGAGATGAAGTATGAGATTCACACTGTGGGGACATATTTTGTGAATGGAAACACGTTGCCAAGGTGGCATCGGAGTGTCAGCTGAGGTGCTACGTGGCTTGGTCATGTTGTCGAGATGATCTTGGCAAGACCGAGGTTATCTGTGGAGATACCGAAATCCGAGATGAGCGGATAAGGGACAAGAGTCTTAGAATGGGGGAGGACCTCAATCTAGATATAAATAAAGCTCTTAGGGAGTTTATCTCTATCTAACTAGAAGTCCAAGATGAGCATTGAGCCAAAGTCCATTGAAGTTAGGCTTCTACAGGGATTAGGTTAGTGCTGGCTATAAAAGTAAGGCACCCTCGTGGGTTTGAGGTATGCTTTTTATATATTGTCTAGTGAGCTAAGCACTATTGGTTATCTTGGAGAGATAGTGATTACTGACTTGATCGTCGGAGTGCCCCCGGGTGGACGAACCATCATCGGACTCTTATCTTTCTGTGACAAGTTTTTTGGGCTTAATCTATTTTGCCGGTGCTCTCCTATTGAGTTTTCTTGTTTGGTTGTGTGGTAAAAAATCAACACCCACAATTTGGCACCGTCTGTGGGAACGTAAGGAGAATAGATAGCCAACAACGGGCAGAAAGAAAAGGTCAGGGACGACATCCTAAGTGAGAGTGGCAAACACACCGATCCTAATGTAAAGGAAGAGAATTGTAATGAAGAACCCCGAGAGCAGAACCCGGGGAAAAGAACGTCTGCCAAGAGGGAGACGTACCAAAGAAGGCAGGTCGATGAGAGTATTACAACGAAAACGACCTCTAGGTATAGAAAGATAAATACCTGAGAAGGGATGACGAGATGAAGGAAATGACAAATAAATTGGCAGATCTACAATCGATTGTCAACTTCATGATGCAGAACAACGTCATGCAGCCACCATTTCCATTGGAGGACACGCCAATTCCAGCGGCCAAGAACGGTGCCCAGAAAGGGGGATAGAAAGCAATCCCTGCAGTTCCTTAGCATGACAAGGCAAAGGAGCATTTGCATCGGCCTTCACCGGAGATCGAGTGGGGAGGATCGATGATAGGAGAGTCTCAAAAGACACCTCGTGCCAAGGAAACTTATGTCAAGAAACATCGGCATGTTCAAGGGAATGTTTTGTTTTGACACGATGAATAAAGAGAGGTCCAAGAAGACTCATAATGACACCGGGAGCAGTGTACCAAAAAGAATGAAATCCGTTAACAGTCGAGCTCCTAGTTGGACTAAGGAGGATTTAAGGGACTACCTCTAGAGGAAGCGACAAGATGCGGAGGTCACATCTCCGGTCAAGCCGAGAACGCAGTTCTCAATGGAGTTGGATAAGTTTGAGGCGCCAAAAAGGTTTCACATGCCGAGGTTCTAGATATATGGCGGTAAGTCCGATCTGAACTTTTACATCGACTTATATTTGAATTCAATGGCACTTTATACTGGGAACGAACCGTTGCTCTGCAAAGTGTTCCCCTCATCATTTGGGGAAATCGCATCAGATTGGTTTCAAAAGTTGCCGAAAGAAACTATGAAAAGTTGGGAAGGCCTTGCCAAGATGTTTGTGGCCAAGTTTGTTACAAACAAACTGTAGCCGTTGAGGGTAGACTTCCTGATGGCTCTGAGAATTGGCGAGGATGAAAGTCTTAGGGCTTATGCAAATAGGTATTATGAGGTGTTTAACCGAATACCAGGGTGTAAATAAGAGTTGGTGGTCGTATCTTTTAAGAATAGCTTGAACGATGACTGTATGCTTCGAAAGTCACTGGCAAAGACATTGCCAAAAAGTATAGAGGAACTCATGCCAGAATTGAGAAATATGCGAGAGTAGAAGAAGACACGCCAGGAACAAAAGCGTCAAAGCAAGAGAAGAAGAACGGCTCGCCGAAGCGAGGCCAAGGTAATTCAAATTTAATAGACAAGAAACAGGACTGAGGGCTACACAGGCAGTTACCACAGTGTTCCGGATCCCAGTTTACAAAGTCTTGGAAAGGATCAGGAACCAGCCGTACTATAAAGCACCAGAGAAGATTCCTGGCGAATTTATGGGAAGAAGCCTTAGGAAGCACTGTGCCTACCATAATGAGGATGGACACCTAATTCAGGGGTGCAGAGCCCTGAAGACACATTTGGAAGATTTGAGGGATTTGGTAGATGAGGCCAGAACAAGGGAAGAACAGGCAAGACTGCCCCAGGCATCGGCAACACCACCTCCATCAGCACTACAACCGCAAGTAAACGGACCTCAAGCGATCAATATGATTCACTCGAAGGTCAATGAGAACGAGGTACGTGGGGAGACCCAGAGGGTGAAACATTTACAACATGTGTATTAGGTCCAGAAAAAGAGGCCTAGGACCAATGGTGTCCTTTACTGAGGCCGACTTGGACATGGTGCAACATCTATACAACGATGCACTGGTGATATCCCTCAAGATTGGAGAATGGCAGGTAAAGCGCATTCTGATTGACCAAGGAAGCTCTTGTGACATCATGTATGTCAGATGTTACAAGGAGCTCGTCCTTCACCGAGATGATCTAGAGCAGTCCAACAGTCCAATGGTCGGGTTTAATAGAACGCCGACCTGGCCCTTGGAAGCAATAAATTTGGAGGTGCAGGCAGGCACCAAGAAGGTAAGTACAGAGTTCACAGTAATTAACACCCCTTCCCCTTACATTGTCATCTTGGGAAGGCCATAGTTGCATGCAATGAAGGTTGTTCCCTCAACATTGCACCAGCTGTTGCGGTTCCCAACAGAGCATGGAATTGAGGAGATCAGAGGGGATTAGGTGCAAGCAAAGAATTTCTCCATGGTAGCAATGAAATCCACATGCAATGTATGAGAAGTAGAAACAGTAGAGATTGAGGACGAGGACATGGAGGTCCTAGATGACGTTGGGCAAAGAGTCGACCGACAAAGCGAGGAAGCCTGAAGAAAATTTTGGTCCAGCAAGGGGATGAAGAACGCTTCTTCCTTCTCAGCTCAGGCTTGCCCAAGAAGAATGAAAGGAAGTTGGAAGTATTCTTGCAAGCAAATATAGAGGTGTTTGCTTGGACGCCCTGCAAGATGCCTGGCATTGACCCCGAGGTTACATGTTACAGACTGAACGTAGACAGGTCGGCTAAACCTGTCATTCAGTGAGTAAGGAGGCCAACGTTGGTTCATGTGAAGGCAATAGAGAAGGAAGTGGACAAATTGTTAGAGACCAGAGCCATTTGAGAGGTAAACTACCCAACTTGGTTGTCAAACACAGTTGTTGTGAAAAAGAAGAAGGGGAAGTGGAGGGTCTGCGTGGACTTCACTAGCCTGAATAAGGCTTGTCCCAAAAACAGTTTCCCACTCCCCAAGATTGATCAATTGGTGGATGCCACTTCAAGGCATGGAAGGATGAGCTTCCTAGACGTTTACAGGGGGTACTATCAAATAGCAATGTACCCCCCTAATAAGGAAAATACTGTATTTATCACCCCAAAAGGGTTGTATCGCTACAAAGTGATGCCTTTTGGGTTGAAAAATATAGGAGCAACGTACGAGAGGTTAGTGACTAAGATGTTCAGACATCTGATTGGAAAAATAGTAGAAGTATACATTGATGACATTGTCGTGAAGACCAAAGAACCTGATGATCATCTGCCAACTTGAAGGCAGTTTTTGACATCCTTAGAACATATCAGCTTCGACTCAATGCTTCGAAATGTGCATTTGGAGTTGGGTCTGGTAAGTTCTTAAGATACTTGGTTACCAGAAGGGGCATTGAGGTAAGCTCAGATTAAATTAAGGCTATCCTAGACTTGAAAAGCCCAACGTCGGCAAAACAAGTACA